ACACACTACTACACACTACTACACACACTACTAGACACACTACTACACACACTAACTACTACACACACTAACTACTACACACTACTACACACACTACTACACACTACTACACACACTACTAGACACACTACTACACACACTACTAGACACACTACTACACACACTAACTACTACACACTACTACACACAGTACTAGACACACTAGTACACACACTACTACACACTACTACACACACTAACTACTACACACACTACTACACACACTACTACACACACTAACTACTACACACTACTACACACACACTACTACACAACTACACACTTGTACAGAAACCCCTGAAGTTATCCAGAAGAAGAAATCTTTCAGCACAGGAGAAATAAATCGTGTCGCACCTGAAACATCTTCAGGTGTGACACCTGAAGATGTTTCAGACACCTGAAGATGTTTCAGACACCTGAAACATCTTCAGGTGTCACAGCTGAAGATGTTTCAGGTGTCTGAAACATCTTCAGCTGCGACACCTGAAATGTCCCAGGTGATGCTGGTGGACCACAGGTCTGCTCAGACTCCAACCCTTCCTCAGATAAAGTGGACCTCTGGGCACCATCACCTCCTCTATGAGGAAGAGCTGAGTGAGTTCTCCAGCAGGTCGGAGCATCATCTTCACCATCTCCGCCCGCAGCAGACATCATCTCACATCATCTCTCATCTCCTCACATCGCAGAAGGAAAACGGATTTTTCCTCACCTTAAAGAAGCGCAGGAGCACGAGCCTGATGACAGCTGACTGTAACCTCCTCCAGCTCCAGCCGGCTCCTCGGTCCGGTTCTTCTGGCTGCAGAGAAGAAACTGGACCTGCTTCCAAGTGACGCAGCGCGGCGCCCCCTGGCGGCCGCCTGGAGCCACAGCAGGCTCAACTAGCACAAACGATGACGTAGCAGCTCATAAGCATTTAAACCAACGTGCAAGTTATGAAGCATCTTGTGGATATGACTCGTTTTTGTTTTCAGTGACAGAAACACCAAATTATAACAAATGTATAAATAATAGTTCTTATTTACAGAGAGGCATAAATATAAAGTGCTGGTTTTTAAGCAGAGCTACTTGTAGATGAGGGTACGGACATGTTCATGAAGTGATCAATAATCTGTCACATTCCATCAAATTACAAGATATTAATAAAGAAAACTAGTTGCTGCTGGTGAACATGGGGTTCAACATTGTAATAACTCACTGAAGTAAAATTTACACAAAAATACCTTGATCAAATATGTACAGACATTTTTCTACTTAAATAATTTACACTAAAAACAACACGTTCTATAAAAAAGATGAATTTATTTTTATTTCCACGTGTTAAACCTAAACATGTTTGTTGCAGTTAAAACGATAATCACTAATGAACTTTTCTGTAAATTTAATGGTTTTTATTTTCTGAAACGGTGAAACGTTTCTTCTAAACGAGGAAAAGGCCCGCAGAGCCCCGAAACGTTAAAAAATACAGATCTGAAACTTTGTTCCTGGTTTTTAGACGCCAGATTCAAATCTATAAATGATGAAACTGTGATTTTGTCTTAGATATTTTTATTATACAGTAGCTAAAAGTAGAAAACACTAGCTAAAAGCTCAAAACGCTAGCTGAACATAACCAGGGGTAGCTAAAATCAGCTAAAGGCTAGCTAAAAGCAGCTAAACTTGAGCCTGATTGCTGTTTTTGACCTCTTCTAACACGGGTCTGTTTGTACTAAAGACTTTTATTGTTCGACGTTCGGCTGCTGTAACAGAAAAGTGAAAGGTTTCTCAGCAGGAACGATAAAACTGGTTTGTTTAACCTCATGAGACCTCGAGTCCTCATATGTGGACAGAGTTTTTTAGACAACTGCTCATAATAGAAAGCTGGAATTTTGTTTTTAGAGTTACTGGGACCTTATGACCCCAATTTGCAAAGGAAAATATAAAATGCAAAAATAAACTTACTGTCCTCATGAGGACATTGGCTTTTTCTAAAACTACTTCCTGTTCCGTAACGGGCTACGGTAATTATTTAACTTATTAGGTCGTACATGGACAGAGAAAACGCACACCAACTAATGAGCTGTGAAACAAAAACTTTATATCAAAAATTAATTTATTGTGCAGTAAGATTACAGGTCCAGTAAAGTCATGTGATCGAATCAAACGGTTCAGGACCCCCAGTTGAAGCATCAACACTGAAAACAACAAAAACAGCTGTGAAAACATCTGTGCTGGTCGGGCTTGGACCGGTGGAGGCTGCAGTGAAATCTTTTAACAAACGGCTCAAGAATGAGAACTCAACAAAAACGGAAACATTTTATTTAAAAAAATAAAAAAAACATCTGATGTCAGATTCTTCATAAACCAACAGGGTATGGCAGTGAAAGATGCATTTATTGTGAGCGTTCATTATATTCATACATCGGTGCCTACAAAAGTCACTCCCTATAGAAATCTGTTTGTACTAAAAATAGACTCCAAAAAATCTCCAGATTTTGGCAACATATAAAAATATCCCGGAATAATAAAAAGCTGCGCGTTTATAAAAGTGTCCGGACGAGTCGATGGACTCGGACAGACTGGAGGACATTCAGAGTCCGTCCACGTCGGTTTCTACTTCCTGTCTTCAGCTTTCTGCTGGAACTGAAGACAGGCGAGAACCGTCCCAACGTTTTCACTCGGACCTCCTCCAGAGGAGGTCTGGACTCCTCGGGTCCTTTAGACAGAACTCAGTTTGTCGTCGACGTAGACGATGACACGATGACCGTACTTCTTGTAGCGTTTAGTGTATGGGCGAGTTTTCTTGAATCTTTAGAGCTGTTGGACAGCTGAGGTTCATCCATCTCTGTCTTCTGAAGCCCATCAGTAGTCGGGTCGCAGAGACAACAGGTCCAGGAGAGAAACCCAAACGTCCATGTCCTCAGAGACACTCTCCAACTCCTCCAAGGGGAGGAGGTGGTCCTCAGAGAGCTCTGGCTCCTACCAAACCAGATGAACCAGCTCAACTGACTCCTTTCAAGGAGCTGCAGCTTTTCTCAGGTACCCCCACCCCACCCCCAAGATGACGGAGCTCCTCACACGATCTCTAAGGCTGAGCACCCCCCACCCTATGAAGGAAGCTCTCGTTCTTTGGGTCCTGATCCAAACCTCATGTGAGGGTTGGAACGTGGACAGACCAGTAAATCCAGAGCTTTGCTTTTTAACTCAAGTCTCTCTTCACCACGACCGACCGAAGCAACGCCCTCATTACTGACGGAAAGGCCCCGATCTGCCGATCCATCTCCCGCTCCGTCACTCAGGAACAAGAAGCCCAGACATTGAACTCCTCCACCTGAGGCAACGTCTCCGCTCTAACGTCGTCACAGTTCTGCCTCGTTAAGAGTCACCTGAGCTGATGGGGCAAATCTACGAAGTATCCGTTAAACGTTCACTTCTCTGAACGTGCGTCTCTTATTTCAGCTCCTCAACATCTACATAAATGCTGCGTGCTCATGTGAGGTTAACGAGGACGTTCAGGTGATCGGTGAGGTCATCAGAACAAAAACACCTGCAGACGTCCGGTTTGTTGCTCGCCGGCGGCCGTCTGGGTGACGTGCAGTCAAATCACAGTTTCAGAAGATTTTCAACAAAACAAATAAGAACATCCCCTGATTGATCCAACAATCAATCAGACGGGTGGACAGACAGGCAGACAGACAGGCAGACAGACAGGCAGACAGACAGAGTTATGTGTTGGCAGAAGAACGGAGCACGTGAAATCTCTTGAGGGTCATGCGGAGTGATCCCAGCTCACGGTTCAGTCTCTCCAGACGTTCCTCTAAGGCCACCTGAGGAAGAATCAGAGCTGCAGCTGTAATCTGAGGCCACGTTACGACACACCGTGCTCAGAGCATGCCTTGTGGAAGACTCTCAGCTACTACCACATCAGATCGTCGCTCAGTGTTTGTACTGTAGCTACCTTTGTGTTTCCAAAGATTAGTGGAGCGGACAAACGGAACTGGTTGATTCCAGAAGTTCATGTCATAGATGGGCGTGGCCTGATAGTTTTTCTCAGACCGAGTACAAGTACATCTGTTTGTGTACTTGTACCCTATCCCTAACTTGTATAGTATGGGAAAGTCTCGCCCATAGTGAGTAGTTAAAGAGTTTGTACTTAAACATTTCACAATGACTTTAGAAACACTTTGATCAGGAACGCAGCAAACGGTCAGAAAGATTTTCATTTTTAGTACCAAGAATAAAAATGGTACCGGTCCAAAGTGTCCGTGTTTCTACGAGTGCACGAGGCGGAAAGACACCGCTAGTTGTGCACACCACGAATCGTTCAAATCCATCCAGTGGTTCATGACATATTATGCTAACAGACAGGAGATATTGTGCTAACAGACAAGAGATATTGTGCTAACAGACAGGAGATATTATGCTAACAGACAGGAGATATTGTGCTAACAGACAGGAGATATTATGCTAACAGACAGGAGATATTGTGCTAACAGACAGGAGATATTGTGCTAACAGACAGGAGATATTATGCTAACAGACAGGAGATATTATGCTAACAGACAGGAGATATTATGCTAACAGACAGGAGATGTGCTAACAGACAGGCACACAAAGAGTCACACTTATTTCTGCTTTTCCCTCTTCAGGGGTCTCCACAGTGAGTCCTCCACCTCACTCTGTCCTCACTCCATCTACCTCCATGTCCTCTCTAACTGCATCCATTTGTCTCCTTTTTGTCTTGCTCCTGCAGCTGCATTTCTAACATCCTTCTACCAATATACCCACTGTCCCTCCTCTGGACATGTCCAAACCACTGTCCCTCCTCTGGACATGTCAAAACCAATGTCCCTCCTCTGGACATGTCCAAACCATCTCAGTGTGTCCTCTCTAACTTTATCTCCCAGGTGTTCAACCTGTGCTGTACCTCTGATGATCTCATTCCTGATCTTCTCCATCCTTGTCTCTCCTAAGGAGAACCTCAACATCTTCATTTCTGACACTTCCTGTTCTGTCTCCTGTCTTTTTGTCCATGTCTCTGTCTCCAGACCATACAACATAGCAGGTCTCACCACTGTCTTGTAAACTTTTCCTTTCACCTTTGCTGACACCCTTTTTGTCACAAATCACTCCTGAAACTTTTCTCCATCACTCCATCCTGCCTGGACTCTCTTCTTCACCTCTTCACCACACTCCCCATGTTCCTGGACAGTGGACCCCAAGTCCTTGAAGTCCTGCTCCTTTGTGACCTCTGCTCCTTGTAGCCTCACTGTTCCACCTCCTCCCTCTCATTCACACATGGACTCTGTCTTACTACGGCTGACTTTCATTCCTCTTCTTTCAAGTGCATACCTCCACCTCTCCAAGCTCTCTTCCACCTGTTCCCTGTTCTCACCACAGATCACAATGTCATCTGTAAACATCATCGTCCACGGGGATTCCTGCCTGATCTCATCTGTTAGTCGGTCCATCACCAGAGCAAACAAGAAGGGGCTTAGAGCTGATCCTTGATGCACTCCCACCTCCACCTTGAAGCTATCTGTCACTCCTACAGCATTTTCACCACTGTCCTGCTGTCCTCATGCATGTCCTGCTGTCCTCATACATGTCCTGCTGTCCTCATACATGTCCTGTACCAGTCTAACATACTTCTCTGCCACTCCAGATCTCCTCATGTAACACCACACCTCCTCCCTCAGCACCCTGTCAGATGTTTTTTCTAAATCCACAAAGACACAATGGAGTTCTTTCTGACCCTCTCTGTTCTTCTCCATCATCATCCTCAAATCAAAGATGGATCTGTGGTGCTCTTTCTCAGCATGAAACCATCCTGCTGCTCACAGTCACCTCTCCTCTAAGTCTTGCTTCCACAACACTCTCCCAGATCTTCATCATGTGGCTCATCAACTTAATTCCCCTTTAGTTGCTACAACTCTGTACATCATTGTTCTTAAAAATGTCCACCAGCACTTCTTCTCCATTCCTCAGAGATTTTCTCACCCTCAGATATGTCACTGAATGTTTGAGTGAAAAACCTCACTGCCATCTCTCCAAGACATTTCCAAACCTCCACTGGTCATCAGGTCCTACTGCCGTCATCTTCTTCATTCTTTTCAGAGCTTTGTTTGACATTAATATTACATTTTCAAAAAAACACAAAGCTGGGGTCTTTTCCGTTTCCCTGCTGTTGGTCAGACTGAAGTGATTTTATTGTTGATCTTCAAACTGGCAACAAAAATGATCCTTTTCCACAGAGATAATTGATGTTGTGTGTCTTACCTCATCTAAACGGGTCTGTAGACTCACTCTGCCACCTGCTCCGGGCATTCGGCTCAAAGCTGCCTCAATCTGCGACCATGCACGTACGCGTGCACACACACACACGCACACACATGCACACACAGATACAACTCAGTAATTTAAAAACGGTTAAAGGCCTGTCATTCCTTGAAGAAATGTGCACCATCCGCTGCCTTCAACGCCAGACTTTCATCCTAAGGACTCCTTATGACGACAGACTTTATCTGTTTTGGTCAGAACCTGTGACGATGAGCTCACACTCCAGCTCCAAGACGTGAAAGAGCCTCAGCTACTACCACACAAAGCGTAGCTCCGTACCTGCAGAAATTCACAGCGGGATGTTTAGTGTCCTTTAGTTGTAGTGGTTAGCTTGAATTGGTTTGGCTCCATATGTTGATGACGTCTTTCTGAGTATTTCAATAAAATTTGGCCATTGGTTCATGGAATATTTTGCTAACAGACATGCAGACTTGATTCCAAAGGTTAGAAACAAGGTTTTAAGAACAGATGTGTGTTTTCTCAGATCTTGATGCTCAACAAACCCATGCTACTCGTTTGGGCTCAGCCTTGGTGCCTGTGGATTGGACTTTTCCCCAGGTGACTTCCCCACGCCTTCAGGTGGGGTGGGGGTGGGGGTGCTGGAAGGTGCTCCAGCTGGGGACTCTATTCTGCTTCAACGCCCATGTGAGCAGCGGCTGTGTGACCTGGGGGGGCATGATTGGGACGAACAGTCTCTATGTTCCAAACCTGTGAGGTGTTTTGTTGTTAGACTTCTGTGCTCGTCACAATGTGTCCATCATGAACCGTGTTCAACCAGAACGCCCAGTTACAGATTGATGAGGGTCTGCTGGGAACGCTTGGCAGAAGAACCAATCAGAAAGATCTTCAACTAACACCTCTAAGAAAGCCTAACCACATCCCAGCTGGGGGGGGTTGTATGAGTGGGCCAATGTTCTGCGCCTCCCTTGTCAAGGCAGCTGCCTTCAGCTGTGACCATAAGGTTGCCAACGCCTCTTGCGGAGGCCGCCCTTGAACCCTGCCGTGGACAGCAGCGGTGAGGGAGACTGTCAAGCAGAAGGAGGAGTCCCATCAGATCTTGTTGGCTGGTGGGACACCAGAGGCAGCTGAGGAGGATCAGGGGCCCAGCTGGCTGTTGTTGCTGAGGCTAAAACAGATTTGGGAGGAGTTGGGTGAGACCTTGAACAGAGATTCCCTGAGAAGATTCTGGCAAACATCAGGCGACTGAGGTGGGGAAAGCAATTCTTGACCAACAGTGTATAGAGGGGGTGGGATTCTGTTGGTGGAGGGGGTCTGTCCAGAACTGAAGCTGCAGAGGTAGATAAGAAACTCTGCAGTGGCAGGACCTGTCTACATGTGTGTTGTGGAGCTGGAGAAGACTTTCGACCGTGCTCCTAGAGGTACACTGAAGGGGGGGCTCCATGAGTATGGGATTGGGGGCCCGTTGCTACGGCTGTTCAGTCCCTAAACAAGCGATGTGAGAGTTTGGTTCTCATTGCTGGCAGTAAGTCGGACCCTTCAGGGTGGGAGTTGGACTCCTCCAGGGCTGCTTGTTGTCACAGATTCTGTTCATAACTTTCATGGACAGAACTTCTCGGTGCAGCCGGGGGGTGGAGGGAGTCCAGTTTGGTGGTCTCAGGATTCCATCTCTGCTCTTTGCAGATGATGTGGTCCTGTTGGCGTCATCGTACCGTGATCTTCAGCTCTCACTGGAGCGGTTCACAGCTGGGATGAGAATCAGCACCTCCAAATCTGAGGCCATGGTCCTCAGACAGAAAAGAGTGGATTTCCCTCTCAAGGTTGGGAGTGAGGAGCCTCAGGTGGAGGACTTCAAGTATCTCAGTGATTTGTTCACAACTGAGGGCATGATGGACCACCTCGAAGCCTTCTGGCCACCTTGATGATTTGTGACTGGGAGGAGTTGGTGGGGGGAGAGGTCAAGGCACACCCACCCATGACGTGTCTTTGCAGCAGTAACAGCTGTTTAGTACATAGCTGTCCAGAGATGAAGGGCACAGAGATTAAAGAACAACAAACAGTTTTACCACTGAGGGAACATTAATGACGCACAGCAGCTTTAGAATAGTTCACCACAAAGAAAAACAATCGAGTGAGTCAATTCATCATGTCTGGAAACCAAAACAAGGGAGACTTCTGTCGTATATTTATTGTGCTCTACGTCAACACAGCTGAGTTCTGCTCCACGCCTCTAATGGTTCTGAGAAGCTTCACTCCTGGACGCTCCTGTCTGTGCTGGACGTGGCTCCATGACTTGTGAACGGGCAGAGGCACAATAAAAAGGGACTGAATTCATTAAACCAGAGAAGTGGCAGCGGGGGAAGCCCGATCTGAGCATCCTTAACGAACCTCTTATGTAAACAGCTGCAGGAGGATTAAAGCTCTGCTGACGCAACATGAACTCTGCTCACATGCTTTTATAATCAGTAAAATGTTGGCAGCTCCAAAACTCACCTGCAGTTTTTCCTGTGTCAGCTCATCAAACAGCCTTTCTGCCTCAGACAGGGACTGAGGTCTGTCCAAGCTCAGCAGAACCGGGCCCTCTGAGGAGTCCTGCAGGTCTGGTACACCACAGTCTCTCTGCTCCGCCCAGCCCAGCTGGGGGGTACCGTCCGGGGACTCAACACAGCCCGAGGACTCTGGTTCCTGAAGGCCTGAAAACAACAAACACAAGTAGTTTTTTATTTTCTTTAGTTTCACTCACAAAGAAAAGTCATTCTGAAACAACAGAAAACATTTAGAGGAAGAATGCATCAAATAATAGTATATATATATATATATATATATATATATATATATATATATATATTAGAAGTAGGATCAGAAGCTGGAAGTTGAAGTCGCAGAAGACCAGCGCCCCCTGGTGGCTGGCTCCCTCCCCTCCATGCAAACAGGTGGGACATTTTTCAGGCTAAGAAACACTAAAACACTCGGATCTTTTTCTTTAGGTGCTGATTTTTGATGATGATTCTGATTCCTACATTTTTAAATGTCTGATTCCTATATTTCTAACATGCTCGTTACGTTATGTTACAGCCTGCTGCTGTCCAACAACATTCTCTTAGGGTTATCCACTCATTCATCCAGCAGCTGAAAGCATAAAACTCAGAAGTCGTGACACAGTTCGACACTGTTCAGTAAACTGGCAGGTGAATAAAAGAAAGCCGTTACCATCTCTGTGTGTTGAAGTGAACGGGAGTCTCCTCCTGGGACTGCTGCTGTGAAACGAGTGAGGTCTCCGATCAGCTTCAACCCTGAACGCAGCACACAACGAGACTTCTGTAACGTCTGCGATCCAAGTTTCATTGATTGTTTTCATGTTACTGTCTCACCTGTGGAGCAGGTATTGTTCTCGTGGCATCAGGTGACCAAACGCAGTGGAGTAATTCTCAGTAGGGCAGCGTTTAGGGCTGGACTTGGCGGACAGAGGCTTGAGTAATATTTCTCTTTTTGCTAAATGAAAGAAGACCATCCTGAATCAAAAGTAAATGTTCACACTCCTCAGGTCTTAATGAGGCATTCAAGCAGTGAGATGAAATCAGGGCAGAGCCGAGAGATATCCTGCTAAAATACCTGCAGCCGTTTGGGTGAAACGTTTCTAAAACACAGTTACAGCATCGATACAGTCTGTGAGCTGTTGAAGCAGCTGGAAACAGGACCAGTAAAACCAGTCGGATGTCGCCGAGCGTTTCAAAACGTGAATGTTTGTAGTTGAGATGAGAACTGAACAGGGAATGAAGTAAACCTAAATGTTTGTGGTGCGAGACGTTCAAGTAGAAGCTACACTGGTAGGTAGTTTGTATTTTATATTGTTTGTACAAGGCAGTGCAGGGTACTGGGTCCAGTGGGGGAGAATTTGTATCCACCACCAGGAGCAATGGAGGAGCAGGGAGGTGGCCAGTTAAAAAAATCTGAGCATGAAGTTGCTGTGCCTCGTCATTAATCATCTTCTCTGTGAACCATCTGTTCACTGTAGATCAGGACTTTAAATTCTGCAGTTTCACGTCACTACGTCACAAACGGAGCTGCGCAGCCAAATAACTTTTTCTAACTTTGAATGTTACGTCTCTGTTACTACCTCACACAGAGGCACAGAGGCACATCGGCAGTGGGTTGGCTTCGGACCTCCGTGTCAACTTGATCTGTTCAGAAACCAAACTGAGGCATCCACAGTGTCCTGGATTAAAGTGTCACCAAATTACCAGATTGGTCTTTGATGTCTCTTTACTTTGACACAGTCCTCAGAGTGATGCTCCTCATGTTTACCACTGAAGCTTTTATAGATGTGAAACAAATATTCAGCAGCATGGTGGCTCAGGTGGCAGAGCTGCCGCCTCTCACTGAGAAGGTCGCCAGATCAAATCCCAGCCGGGGCTCTTCCTGGGTGCAGTTTGCATGTTCTCTCCGTGCCACGTGGGTTTTCTCCCACAGACCAAAAACATGCACGTTAGACTGAATGGTAACTCTAAATTGTCTCCATGTGTCCCTGGATGGACTGAAGACCTGTCCAGGTGTCTCTAGATGAACTGGAGACCTGTCCATGTGTCTCTAGA